GCCAGACACATACACACCTAATTGCTCAACTGTGTTTTATTTCAAGTTTTAAAATTGCAAACACTCTACACTTTCCTAGAGACATTTTAAGGTGTCGAAAGTCAATGAAACAAATCTAAAATGTCACATAAGCATGAGTCTAACAATGCAGATTCTTGAAGTTCAGAGGTCGCCTAAACAGCATTTGCTGTACTTGTAAATTCAGGTAAAATCAAATGCCTAACTAACTTCAAATCATTCTGTATATTTCTACCACATGCAATCTTCTCTAACAGGGACCACTACCTGCAGGAAACAGCACTGCGAGATTTCTATCACATGTAATCTCTAACAGGGACCACTACCTGCAGGAAACAGCACTGCAAGATTTTTTTTTTTCCACAGATCAGAATCTGAACTAGCTTATGTGCAGTCTGACAGTAGCCTCAAACATCAAGATTTCCTGCCCCAAAGACTGAAGACCTTTTTCTGAACACGTTAGTATTAGTCGTGCATTGTATTTTCCTGTTACATCTTGCATTAGAATAAGGCAGTGTTTGGTCTGCAAACTTAACACACATAAAAAGGCTAAAGTATTTAGTGACTGGGGAGATTCCCACTGACCAGAGGAAGTTTCAATGTCCATCTTCAGGAAGGAGGATCTGACAAACTACATGCCCATCAATCTAGCCTCAGTCTCCAGGTAAGTCTTCCTGGAAGCCATTTCCAAACACAAGAAGGATAGGAACTTGACTGGGAATGGCAAATCATGCCTGACAAACATGATCGCCTTCTACAAGATCCACCCATGTGGATGTCATATACCTTGACTTTAGCAATGCCTCCCATCAAGGTGGATAGAAAAGTCCAACCAGGGTGCAGATTGCTAGTGAAGTCCTAGTGATATTAGTTCCAATACTGTTTAATGTCTAATAAAACTCAGGAAGTTCACATCTTGCTTTGCTTGCACACACAGCTTTTGCTTTCCCTATTAAACTGTCTTTATCTCAACACATGAGTTTTCTCACTTTCACCCTTCTGATTCTCTCCCCATCCCATTGAGGGGGAATGAACAAGCGGCTGCGTGGGGCTGAGCTCCCTATCAGGGTTAACCCACAACAACAGCTATATGCTGAAAAGGAGGGCTGTTATTTAGAGGGAACTAACAGAATGGACTAAACAGGCTGACAGGAACCTCATCAAGTTCAGACGCAAAGACAAAGTCATAAAACCTGGGACAGAATAACCCCTTGCAACAGTACAGGCTGTGGACTGATGAAAAATTCAGTTAAGTATAAGAACTTAAAAGAAAAAAAAAAAAAAAGGAGAAAAAAGAGCATGAGTATGCTGAAACACGTGGAGTAAGTCGTCCAAAGGGGTTGCAAAGATACTAAAGCTGAACAAGCCTCAGCACCATGATCTAATTGCACCTGCTTGATGCACGGGGGTTCAAATAGATGACCTCCAGAGGTCCTGTGAAAACCAGGTTAATCAATAATTCTACCTAATTACAGATAACATCCCTAGAAATAAGATATTTAAAAAAAAAAAAAAAAGACAAGGCTGTTCTACCAGTGAAATCTACTGTTTTAAATTGAAACAAATATTACGGCTTAAGATCAGTTACATAAATCCAAAATTAAGTTTCTGGCTTGCGCTTTGAACTATGTAATACAAAAATCCTGTTTAAAATGATGGCAAAAGCAGCATGGTCCAAAATCATAAAATAAATCCAGAAGACAGTATTTTCTATAATTAATCTTTATCCTTCCACCAGCTTAGCATAGTCTTAGACGAGTCAATTCATCTTTCTCTCTTACAGCAAATGTTTTCTACCTCAGAGAGAGAAAGTAACAGTGAACAGAACTTGTTTTTGCTATTGAACTGAGAAAGCATTCCTAGATCATAACTCTACTGGTTCCTCTAAAGTTGCAACTATATTAACTATGAAAATCAACAGATCAACAACCCCTTACATAAAAGCCATATTCATTGACAAATACCTCTTAAACACGTCACCCATCTTCTTTGTTCATTAAGACCATAACTTTTTAATTATTTTTTTTTTAAATGACAGACACCATGAGACAGGAAAAAAAGAAATTGAAATGGCAGCAATTGTTTCTGCTATTTGATCATTGTATTAGAAAAGACTCATGCTACATGAACTAGAAATAAAAATCAAATTTTTCTGTCTGGTAGATAAAAAGTGACAAAAGCATATTGTTTTGCACCACCCAACACACAATTACGGTCCACTAATATGGATTTACAAGTCAAAGATAACTCAAGTAACTGAGAACTATGGAAAAACAGTTGAAATTTGTCTACTTCTAAATAAATGTCAGAAAAAAAAAATAATTGAATATATTCAAGTCTAATGGTGTACTTGCATATGGGTCTTTAAGAAAGGACTTGCCAAGTAGAGCTATGGGCTGTATAGGCTTTGTTAAACCCAGCAAACAAAATCCATGTTTAACACAGATGTCATACTGAGCCGTAATACAACCTGTGAGAAAACTAATATGAATACATACTATATGAATAAAGAAATACCACTCACCAAAATAACATATGAGAACAGTAGTGAAGATGGTCTTGCAAACAAAATAAGGAAGCATAATATAACACAGTTTAAGACTCGAGATAATTATATTACTTTTTTTTTTTCTTTTTCAAGCACTTTATGAACACCAGGTAGGTAATTTGATTTAGTAGCAGATAAAAGCTTTTCTCTTTTATTTTTCTAACAAAATTCCTGTTTTCAATGGCAAGTACTGCAACTCATTGGTACGAAATGATGGCAAACAATACGTCCAGGAAGACCACTCCTTCTAGCAATGAAATTGAAACACACTGAATGATAACAGCTTGGTAGCCTTCATTCTAATGAGAAGATATGAAGTCCTCCGTCTTTCAAATCAGAAGCCAGCAGCCAGAAAATATGGATAGGAAAAAGCAGACATAGAAACTTTACCTTAGATCTACCTCAGATATGCTTCAGACTGCAAATTTAGTCTATCAAGGTAGAAATTACCTGATGCAATAAAGAAAGAAAAGGAAAAAAGAAAATGAGAGGAAACACAAAGAAAGGGAAAGGTCAGTTACTTTTTGTGGATGAATGCCAAAGAAATAATTTCAATTACCTGGATAATTTCTAAATAAATAAATATAAATTTAATCCCAGGTTTCCATTACAAAATATAAGAACTAATAAAAAGTCACAGAGATGGTTATACTTGAAAAGAGATTACAGAACAATGTACAGGAAAGGATTTCTGAGAAAATAATTTAAGACTATTTAGGAAAACAGATTGACCAGCAGATTTTGCAAACAAGTAGACACAGTTATCTAAGAGACATACAGATACAGTGTACTTTTAGCAACTGTCTGAATCTGAGCATCTGAAGGACAGACACCTAAATAATATCTTTTTCTAGGTCAGCAAGAACTCTGTTCTGTAGTTGGTGCCTTAAAGTCAGCATTGGCTGAGAAACATGGTGTTCTCATTTTGTACTAACCTTAACTTCTTCATAGATAACACTACTGCACAGGACATATCCTTCTAACTCTTCTTTTTTTGTGATCAGCGGGGGTGAGGGAGTTGGGGAAAAATCTGTATTACATTCAAGAAAATCCTCTGACAAAAACAATTTTCATATTAAGGGACAACTAAAACACATCCATGGTCCCAAAGGCTGCATGCAAATAAGACCAGGTACTCCTAGCCTTGATTCTGTCAAGCTCTTAAATAAATAAGAACCATACACAGTGCATTCATTCCACAAGTTTCACTGGCATGGAAATCATAACTAAAACATTTCCTAATGTACTCTAGCTGGCTAAGGTGCAAGTCTTGCCTAATGTAAGAAAGCAGTAAGGTTTTAAGCCAAGTGAATTACTCAATGCTGGCATTATAATTGGTATTTCTCAGGCAGCCACGTCCAGGTGATCAGAGTTTACAAGCTCAACACATATGAAGGCAGCTTCTTTATAAAATCCCTGCTTAACTGACTTGCTATAACCTTTGAACCATGCATTAGTTTAAACAATTACGAGCATATCACACCCTCTTACACAGAGATGAGGATAAATGGTACACTAGTGACCACAAGCATGTTCTTATCACAGTAAGGTTAACAGAGGTACGCAAGTTAACGAATGTAACATAAGTGAACAATTTATGCAGTCACAAGTCATTTTGACTGGGAACACGTTACAGTTTTTAAAAACTTATTTGTAGTTTTGAGAAAAGATATTACCAAGAAAGCAAAAGCAGAAGAATAAGTATAAAGCCAGCTGACAGAAGCAAGGTAGTAAGAAAGTGTATTATGAAGCAAGAGTGCAGGCAGGCAAGCAATCAAGTTGCCATTTGCTAGAACTATAATAGGGGACATTCCTTGCTGCTAAAATTGAGATGGTTGTATGAGTTTAAAAACAAACTTTGGATGCTTGTTTTTACTTCTACTTCACTGTCTGTGTGTGCGTGTCTAATACTATCTGTTATCAGATATAAGCAACAAACAGAAACTCCTAGCTTCAGGACATGATGAGAAAAATCTTAAGCAAAGGACAAGTAACAGGCAATGCTGCAACCATGGAAAGTCTCATGGTGATAAATTCCAGTGTGAAAGTTCAAGTTCACCTGAAATTAAAACTAATTGCAGACCAAGAATTCAGTCCTAAGGTTTTTCTGTCTTTGAAGATGCATGTGCAGATGAGCTACAGTCTCCTGTCATTCACTGGTGCTAAGACAAGAAGCCTAGAACATAGCTCCTAACTAACACTTGAACGAAAAGATGGATAGTGGTAAGGTCACCTTACACCTGTACTAAACTGAAAGAAGAGAGGAAGACAGGAAAGAGTAATCAGTCAACACGGTACATGATGATGTCAAAACTGGGCATGGCTAGGAAGTAAGAAATAAGAATGTATGACTTCTCAAAATTTAGATGAAGACTTACTTACAGAAATTAAGCAATAAGCAACATGTAAAACTCCTCCCTTCTCCCACACTTACCCGACTACCTCAACAGCATCATTTAGATAGGGATCAACTATCATCTCCTTTGAAACATTCCAATCTCCATCTGCAGCGATGATGCCAATGTTCCTTAGACCCAGTCTGTCCAAAGATTGTCGAAGCACCTTAGTAACAGATAACACCACTTAAAGTACAGCCTTCATCAACCAGGCAACATGAAAATTTAAGATGGAAAACAATTTTAGAACTGTAGGAAGAGTCAGTGGAAGCATTTGTCTTCAGACCAAGATGGATAAGAAAAGCTCTTTCTTCTCAAAGGAGAGGCATAATGACAACTAAGATAAAGTTAATGATAAATATTTTTAACACCGAAGGGTTATCTATGATATTCAGATAGGCATTACACAAAAATGGCCTTCTCATCACTTAGATTACTTTTGACACCCCAAGTGCATACATATACTCCACTTGGACACTCTCAACCACTTGGCTCTCATATGTCTCACTAACTTTCTGGAACGTAATGCATAAAACTGGACTTGCATATTTACAATAAAACCGAGGGCAGTCAACTTTGAATTCAAACATGCCAGTGGAAGAGAATTCCTATTTATCTTTCCAGCTTCTCCTTAGTATTTCACTGTCAAAGACAATAAACCTCTGACATCTGTCTGTAGAACTTCTTAGACAAAATATACCCAGGCAAAATATACCCAGGTCTAACAGTTAAGAATGAACCAGGCTTAGATAGGAGTGGTATTATACAAGCATGTTTTATCTGAATACTCAATTGAAAACAAAAAAGTATTTTCACCAGCTTCCACATACAGTTGCACCTGAAAAAGGACATCAGTCCACAGCCTAAAACATTTTTTCAATCTTATATATAAAGCTATGATGTACTATGCACTGTATGCATAAGAAAGATTTTTCCAACCATTTGAAGATCAGTAGGTATGGATTCTTAAATAATCTCTTGTAATAGCCCCCCAGCAACATGAAGGAGAATAGGGAGCATTTCTATTTTTATGTGTAGTCAAATAAGGACACAAAGCATAGTCCAAGTGTTAGTGACAATGAAAGCCTAGATCTAAAAGACAAAAAACTTACTACAAAGAAGAAAAGTAGCAATAAAGCTCTGTTCAGCTGTTTGAAGCCTTTGAAGCATGAAGTTTACCAGAAGAAAAATTTGGAATGGTAGAAATACCCACAGTAAGGTCCTTCCAATTTAAAGCTTTCTAGCTAGCTAGACATTTGGAAAAACTGCCTAACCATAAAGCCAGTTCAGAAGAACAAGATTACTACAAAGGTTGCAGAACTCCCATCTTGAAAGATAAGTACAAAGGACACGTAACTGTAGACACTCAAAGTGCACTCCATAATAACATATGCAGAAGCGTTCCCCTAATCCCAGTACTGATGTTCATATACAGATACTCCTTAAACTTTAGGGTTAGTTTAAGATGAAAAATATATATAACTAGAAGAATAGGATCTTCTTGAATAAGAATTTATAAGCAATAGAATCATCTTTTCTTTTTTCATTTTTTCTGCTTAATAAGAAACATAACTAGCACCTTAGTGGATGAAGTAACTAAAATAACTTCTTACAAGTAAAAATTTAGCAAGATAACCAAGAGCTTATCTATGTCATATATTCATCAGACACTACAGAAAATGTTTGGTGTGCAACTGCATACTTCAGTAAATGAACCTTTTTTGAAGTGGTGGACTGCAAACAGAACTATCATGCTGATTAAAGAATAGATGCCATGTGACACTGCAGAGTGTAAGAGAATGAATGGCCAAACAGGTGGCAAAAAAGCCTTATATCAATTAATGTACAGTGGAGGGAAGGCTGACACTTTTCAGTGATTGTAAGATCAAATATTAAACTAAACATTTATCTCTAGAAGCCAAAAGCTTGGTCCCTACTCAACAGCATTCAAAAAGCTAACAAGTAGAATGCCACACCTACACTTAACAGTTTGTTCTCCACATTCATTCACCCCACATTAGGGTGCCAAGACAAAGAGATGAGAAAGCCTCCAGGTGACATAACAGAGGCCTGAACAAAATAGAACATTTCTATTTCTTCCAAGACATACAGAAAGCCAAAAAACCCATTTTTTTTAAAAAAGAGCCAATCAGTGATATATGGAAATATGATGACTATTTTATTTATAGCACGATCTGCCTTTTCTCTCTGACGATTCTTTTTACAAAGGGTTGAGTCTCACAGGCATTCCAAGCAACATAACATCTAGTCAGTGAAGCAATAAAACTTGCAGCTCAAAAAAAAAAAAAAACAACCCAAATCACTATTTATCTTCCATCTTACTTGCATTGTTTTATTCCAGCCTACAAAGAAGTATTTTCAGTTCTGTCTGGTTTTGCTTCTGTAACAGATGTACTGAACAACTAAAGATTTCTACCTGAAGTCCACACACACACAAGCTTACCCCTCGTCCCCTACCAGCGTAACTTACCTATAATTAGGATTATCCTTTAGGAGACTGCTAGTATCCCTACTGATTTCTCCATTAGCCTATACCTGATTAGCGAACCACTTTTCTTTTTGAAAAAGAAAAGCCTGGAACCCACATTGCTTGAGGTTAAATATAACAGAAAACTTCTAGTTCCTGAGGGGTTATTGTAATAAAGAAAGCACCCTATCAACTCATTGCCTAGCTTTAAAAAAAGTTAGTCTGAACTAAAAGTTTGTGCTGAACAATTGGGACAGGATTTTTTAGAGGATTCTAACCACACTCACGGAACAAGTTTAAACAGAGCTTCAGTAGCAAAATCTGAAGCATCTACACACCCACCAGAGTTTTGTTACTTAACACGCCCAAAGAAACAAGACACCTTGACATACATGGCAAGATATGCTGCTGTGTCACACTTCAGTGTATGTGTTTTCTCTGGAAGGGATTTTGTAAGTAACTTGAAAACTCCAGCGCAAAACCTCTGTGTCCAAAAGGAACTAACGGCCTAGCAGCCAACAAAAGTGAGAGTCTAGAAAATACCTCTAATGAAATTAGTTGTGAAGTATGCATAACAGAATTTGGACTAAGATGTGGTAAGACTTGAAAACTAAGCTACTGTGATGGCAGTAGACCTGGTAAATCAGTTTAAAATAGATGGTTAATTAACATATTCATTAACAAGAAACCCATAAAGCTGGATATAAAGTATTCCTCTTTCTTTCTAAAAGGTACACAACCCGCACAGAGGTTTCTGACAGTGGTTCCCACCTTCCCTCAGTCAAAGCACTGCACAAATCACAGGAAACAGCTATAATGGTATTAATCTAACTCTACATTCTAGGAAATATAATTCTTAAAAGATACATTTTATAGGAGAGTATTCTCAGCTTTCAGGATTAGTCACAATTTTATATATGCCAGCCTCATGAAAGATACTTAAAGATACTTTTTTGCTCTTATTGCAATATCAAGTTTAACTGTTGTACGCCATTTCCTGTATCATTCTACTAAAACTAATCATTGAACAAAATAACAAAAGAAATTGCCATGGACAAATGATGTGACTAACCTCATCCAGTGTACACAAACTGTTTGATCTGAAACCTAGTTCTAACAGCCACTAATTTACTAATTTTAAGCAGATGGGATCCAACCCTTGCTTATTTGCTTTTAAGAAGATGTAATGCTATTGCTTCTTAGTCTCAAAGCAGCAACAAGGAGATGAACAAAGCAGAAGCTTGTACTTAAGATTCCACTTCCATACAACATAACAGAGTGAGTTTTCAAAGAAGGGCAGGGGGTCAGCAGGGCAGGCAGAGATATTAGAGATATCCCAAGGTTGGTTATGTGAAATACTGTGTTCCTCCAACTCCTTCACAACAGGAGGCACTGAATTTTTCACAGCTGAAAACAGAGAACCTTTATTATGTTTTCCATAAAATAAGAACCTGGAGTTTTATAGCAATAATTTCAGAGCATTATATCCACTGGAACTTTGCTACAGAATTTTAAGCCATTCTAGATCTTGGACTTATAACTACATCCAAACCAGTACAAAGATGATGAATTTGTATAATTTCTGTAGCATCAGCTGGAGTTTGCATTAAAATTTAGAGGCTCTAAACATTTAGCATGCACTGCCACACGTGAAGTTCAAAATAACAGTTTCCAGCCCCCCCCCAAAAATATCTCGAGATTGGTCCTGTTAGCATTCCATGCCTGCAACTACAGGAAACAAAGTTCAGTAAGTGAAGTAGTTGCAGGATTAAGGTCCCCTTCTTCAGACAAATTCAGGAAAGCTAATTGTTTGCATATGATAACAAACACAAACATTTAACTTTAGAGAAATAAGAAAAAATACATACCTTAATATATTTGCTATTAAATGCCCTTTCATTCCATATCTAGAAAGGAAAAGTAAAAAGCCATTTAGAAAAATCAGGATACGTCAATGGATAACGAAAGATTTTATTTACATATATGTAAGATTATACAATCCATTTAACTCCATGGTCTTAGTTTGCTAGAGGAAAGTGTTCTCGTTGCTTTTGCTATCAGCTCCTCAGGAGAAAATTCTGTATGAAAATTCAAAATAGCTGCTTGTTTATCTGTCTCTAAGGTGCACTGATTGCCTCCTTGCTGAAAAGAACTCTAAAGCTGCTTGAGCTCCACAACAGCAGCAATGTTACACAAGACATTATTACCAGTGGGTTTACAGTTTTTTAGAAATCATTGAGAAACATATTGCGGCTTCAAGGTGTGGCTCTAATGAATGTGCCCTGTTGCCATACACTGACATAGGAGATCTAGAAGCTACATATTGAACAATTAGCTACAGTTTCAGGGGGTTATTCAATGACATTTACAGTTCTTTCTAATTTACACAGGACTACACTTGAACATAAAAGAGATCCAGAATAGTTTAAGTAAGCAGACACAAAGTTCTGTAATTTTTGTTCCTCTGGATTTTCCATCTTTTATGGAAAGAG